CATGTATGCTATGTTGTGTACCAGACCTGATGTAAACCTTGACGTAAGTTTGGTAGGAAGGTACCAAAGTAATCCCGACATGGAACACTGGACAACGGTCAAGAATATTCTGAAGTACCTGAAGAGGACTAAGGATATGTTTCTCGTTTATGGAGGTGACAAAGAGCTCGTCGTAAAGGGTTACGTCGATGCTAGCTTCGACACAGATTTGGATGACTCTAAGTCACAAACCGGATACGTGTATATTTTGAATGGTGGGGCAGTAAGCTGGTGCAGTTGCAAGCAAAGCGTTGTGGCGGGATCTACATGTGAAGTGGAGTACATGGCAGCCTCGGAGGCAGCACAAGAGGCAATCTGGGTGAAGGAGTTCATTACCGACCTAGGAGTCATACCCAATGCGTCGGGCCTGATGACTCTCTTCTGTGACAACACTGGAGCTATTGCCCTTGCCAAGGAGCCCAGGTTTCACAGGAAGACCAGGCATATCAAGCGTCGCTTCAAGTCCATTCGTGAAAGTGTTCAAAATGGAGACATAGATATTTGTAAAGTACATACAAACCTGAATGTGGCAGATCCGTTGACTAAACCTCTCCCTAGAGCAAAACATGATCAACACCAGAACTACATGGGTGTTCGATTCATCACAATGTAACTAGACTATTGACTCTAGTGCAAGTGGGAGACTGTTGGAAATATGCCCTAGAGGCAATAATAAAATGGTCATTATTATATTTCTTTGTTCATGATAATTGTCTATTGTTCATGCTATAATTGTGTTATCCGGAAATCGTAATACATGTGTGAATACATAGACCACAACACGTCCCTAGTGAGCCTCTAGTTGACTAGCTCATTGATCAAAAGATAGTCATGGTTTCCTGACTATGGACATTGGATGTCATTGATAACGGGATCACATCATTAGGAGAATGATGTGATGGACAAGACCCAATCCTAAGCATAGCTCAAAGATCATGTAGTTCGTTTGCTATAGCTTTTCCGAATGTCAGGTATCATTTCCTTAGACCATGAGATTGTGCAACTCCCGGATACTGTAGGAGTGCTTTGGGTGTGCCAAACGTCACAACATAACTGGGTGACTATAAAGGTACACTACGGGTATCTCCGAAAGTGTCTGTTGGGTTGGCACGAATCGAGACTGGGATTTGTCACTCCGTATGACGGAGAGGTATCTCTGGGCCCACTCGGTAATGCATCATCATAATGAGCTCAATGTGACCAAGTGGTTGATCACGGGATCATGCATTACGGTACGAGTAAAGTGACTTGCCGGTAATGAGATTGAACGAGGTATTGGGATACCGACGATCGAGTCTCGGGCAAGTAACGTACCGATTGACAAAGGGAATTGTATACGGGATTGATCGAATCCTCGACATCGTGGTTCATCCGATGAGATCATCGAGGAGCATGTGGGAGCCAACATGGGTATCCAGATCCCGCTGTTGGTTATTGACCGGAGAGTCGTCTCGGTCATGTCTGCGTGTCTCCCGAACTCGTAGGGTCTACACACTTAAGGTTCGGTGACGCTATGGTTGTTGAGATATTAGTATACGGTAACCTGAAAGTTTTCCGGAGTCCCGGATGAGATCCCAGATGTCACGAGGAGTTCCGAAATGGTCCGGAGGTGAAGATTTATATATAGGAAGTCAAGTTTCGGCCATCGGGAAAGTTTCGGGGGTAATCGGTATTGTACCGGGACCACCGGAAGGGTCCCGGGGGTCCACCGGGTGGGGCCACCTATCCCGGAGGGCCCCATGGGCTGAAGTAGGAGGGGAACCAGCCCCTAGTGGGCTGGTGCGCCCCCCTTGGGCCTCCCCCTACGCCTAGGGTTGGAAACCCTAGGGGTGGGGGCGCCCCACTTGGCTTGGGGGGGCACTCCACCCCCCTTGGCCGCCGCCCCCCCTTGGAGATTCAATCTCCTAGGGCCGGCGCCCCCCCCCCCCTAGGGGTCCTATATATAGTGGGGGGAGGGAGGGCAGCCGCACCCTAGCCCCTGGCGCCTCCCTCTCCCTCCTATGACACTCCTCCCTTTCCCTGAGCTTGGTGAAGCCCTGCCGAGATCATCGTTGCTTCCACCACCACGCCGTCGTGCTGCTGGATCTTCATCAACCTCTCCTTCCCCTTGCTGGATCAAGTTGGAGGAGACGTCTTCCCAACCGTACGTGTGTTGAACGCAGAGATGCCGTCCTTTCGGCGCTAGGTCATCGGTGATTTGTATCACGACGAGTACGACTCCATCAACCCCGTTCTCTTGAACGCTTCCGCGCGCGATCTACAAGGGTATGTAGATGCACTCCCCTCTCCCTCGTTGTTGGATGACTCCATAGATTGATCTTGGTGATGCGTAGAAAATTTTAAAATTCTGCTACGTTCCCTAACACTCCCTACTATGGCTAGTCGAAGGTTGATACCCCTCAAAGAGTTAACCCCCTAGTGGCTCTGACGCAAGAAGAAAAAGCAATTAGTACCATCGTTGTGGCTCCGTAGGCTGCCAAAGTTCATCGAGCTCAATCGGCAGATGCCGAAGAGATGGAGCGAAGTGGAGTAGGGAATTGGGAGCGGGTGGGGGAGAGAAGGGTCGTCAGTAGTTAGATCTCGAATGGATTGGGATTAGGAAGAGAAGAGAATATTTTATTTTGAGGTGGAGAGAGAAGGATGGTCGGGGGTGAATAAATAAAGAGCGATTGTTGGGAGTTGGGCCGCGGCGACGTGTGGGAGTTGGGTTGGGACCTGAATCAGTTTTAACCATAAAATCAGCTTTGTATTGTAGTTAGTAAAAACAGTTCTGATTTTGGGCCAGATCCATGAATTCACAGAAACGGTTTCAATTCTTTCAACCACCCAAGTAACAAGAGGGAGCTCCTATACGGCGCTGCAGGCGCCGGTTGTGCATCTTGGTGCCCACGCGGCCCACTCGTGGTCGCTTGATCGCTTCCACCCGCGGCAACAACTTGATGCATTGATTTAGGCAATGATGGTGGGAAGTGATCGAAAGAAGTGGGGAGAGGAAGAGGCGCTGCGGTGTGCCGACATCGTGTGTTGTGGCGGCAGAGGCAAGGAGGGAGGCGTCGATGTGGAGGCGGCTGAGCAGGAGGAGGAAATCTTTTGTTTAGTAGTTGGCTCGAATTCTCAAAATTGAGAGGCGGCCAACACGCCTCCCAAAATATTTTAGCACCTAACGCTTTTGAAAGTTAGGCTCAGTTAATGTTTTGAGAAGTTAAGCCCTTTTGTTAGAGATGTATAATCCCCGCCATACCAATCCGTGCGCCCCAAATAATAATAAAAGAAAAAAATCCCTACGAAGGGGCAAGCCACCGGAAGTCTTCTTCTACTCGCGAGCTCAAACAAGGTCACGGTAAACAATAACACCGTCAAATATTGAAAAAATGTACAAAAAAATCTGAACTTTTTCTTGACAAAGTTTGACAAATGTTCTATGTGCTTGCAAAGTTTCATGATGAATTCACATCCGTGAAAGTCGCGGCAAAAAGAAAAAGAGACAAAATCAGCATCGATTTTGCTCTTTTTGGCATGTCTTCCACGAATGCGATTCCACGTCTAAACTTTGTAAGGACATAGAACATTTGACAAAATTTACCACAAAAAATATTCAGTTTTTTTTAAAAAAAAATTCAATGTTTTTTTGGTACTCCGGCCTTCCGGGTGCAAATGTGCTCGCGAGCAGTACGTTCGCGTCCGCAGGCCGCTCGCTTCTTCCCGTCTTCATTCCCCTCTTCTCGTCGCCTGGACTTCCACGCTCTGTTTCGAAACTACTCTGTTTTGCTGCTCCCCCCAGTTATATACTCCACCAACCAGCCTCTTCTCCATCTCAAAAACCCCAACGCCGGCAACGCCGCTCCAAAACCCCAATCTCTCGGCCGGCGGCGACCGCGCCTCCGTCCTCCGCGGGCGCTTCCCCGCGCATCGGCTTCGTCTCCCTGGGCGGTTGGCGTAGGAGGTGCGTGCGCGCTTGTTTTGCAGAATGGGGTTTTTGCCTTGTTTTACTTTTCTGCGGATTCTGACGCCCTCTCTTGGTTCAGAGTTTGTCGGCGCTCCGCCGCTGGGTAACCTCGAGACGAGGCCTGGCTGTCCAGATCCCCGTCCCCGCTTCGAATCCCTCGCGCTGGTTAATTTTTGTACTGAAGACTGAAGAGGTTTGCGTGTGCTGTCTCTGTGGCGATGCGGAATGCGGGGGGTTTTCTTGATGATTTTTTCTCCGTTCCTTGGTTATGTGGTTCGCCGTCTTGTGGTGATGATAATACGACTGGATCCTCTGCTTTTGATTATAATCGAAATGTTGCAACTTCTGGATGGTATTGTTAGTGCACAATTATTAACACCTCTAATCGTGATAGGAGATTCAGTAAACGGATACACTAGTTCACACAAAATGCTCCCAAGTTCAGGGGCATACCGCATACATTTAGCGCTAAAGGCACAAAACGTATGTTGATCTGCATCAGATTATTCGCTTTGCCATGTCTGTTGCATGTTAGGAACTGGATTTGCGTGCATGCTGCATTGGGTGTTAAGTGTTAACAAGTCAGTATATATCCGGTGCAGTCCGAGCTTTTGATGCGCTGCATCTCATTAAGGAAACTGTGCAGATGACCTGTAAATTTTCAGAGAAGTTCCAGTTGGTACACTAAATCTGTCATATCACAAAATTTCAATTCTAAACGGAAAAAAAGAGCGGTTCCGTTCAACATTTTCAGAGAAAAGTATCCTGCTCTGAGAAGCAATATACTAATCTCGCTGCTGGCCCTTGCAGCCAAAATTTCATTCAGTCAGCAGTTACACAGCTTTCCGTAATGTATCAATAATATCGTTATCTGCATGGTATGTCTTCGTAATGTGTCTGGTGCTAGGCTGCTAGCTTAACTTTTTTCTGTGTATTTATGCTTTTTATCAGTTGGTTCTTCGAGTTGTCACTTTCTGTATGATGTGCTATATTGATTTCTTCCATTGTATGCAGGATGGCATCTTCAAAGGTTTGCAAGGAAAGATTTGATGCTGCTGTCACATATCTGGGTGCTATTGGAATTCAGAGAGAAACTGTTTCACCAGTGTTGACGAATCTACTAGACTTGTATGATCACAACTGGGAATTTATAGAAGCTGATCACTTTCGGGTTCTAACCGATGCCATATTCGACGAGCCAGATCCCAAAGTACAATCTACTTTGTTTTGATCACTTAGCCAGAATGTAATATATTGAGAGGCAACATTTCTCTTATAACTCCTTACTCTACCACTTTTGGTACAGGAAGAACAGCAAAGGCAAGCTAACAAGAGGATGAATCCTGATTCGGATCACTGTAAAAAGAAGCTTAAGATAAAACATCATTCTCGAAAACCTACATCCAAGGTGCGTGTCAATGAGAAGACAGAGTTGACTGAAGCTCCACTGCAGCAAGAAGCAGGCAAGCTGTGCCCTCAAACTGTTTGTGCCACTGGGAACACATTGCAGTTGTCTTTTTCGCGGGTGCCTATTGAAGAAATAAACATGGAAAACGATGTTCTCAAGGATACATTGACAGATGAAGATAGTTCAGCTTTATCACTCCAAGGTCAAGAGCTTCCTACTTTCGAGACCCCACTGGCAGTTATGTGCCCACTAGTTCAAGATTCCAGCCATCAGAGAGGTAATTTCTGTTTTAGCAAATATGCCTCACACTTTCTATTGATTTATTTGCAGAGCAAAAACATTTCATTTGCATTTCTGTTATACATATGCAAAATAAATATTGTTATCTCGTTGCCCTGAGTTTGATAGTCTTCTTATGCTTTCCAAATATAGGCTGTTTGCGGAATGCAAAACTTTCACTATTAGTAATTGTCATGGTTCCCAATTTTTCATCCTAAAAAAGATTAGTAAATACGCCATTAATTTATTTCATAATATAGTTTGTAGTGTGATAGAAATTAGCGGTCATAAAATTTATAACTCATGGACTTAAAAGTGGCACTCTCTCTCATCATCATGATGTTGTGGGAAATTTGGTGGTTACACAATGACTGTTTGATGTTGTGATTCTGAGGTTCCAGGAGTCGATCAAGTTCACCTTTGATGAAGCAGAGCTGTGGCAGGTGGTTGCTGGAGCAGAGGCACTTTGACAGTGCACTCCAGGCCCCCTGGCTGTTTTTAGCTTAGATCTTGCCTTGGTTTTATTGCTTTTTAGTTTGATCTTTGTTTTAGTCCTTTTGTAGGGTTAGTTTCATAATAAACATCCTGTTTTACCATTCCCTTTTCTTTGTTTTTGGGCTCTGTTTTTACTTGCAACATTTCAGTGCACTCGTTAACATCCAAATGTGACACACATCCTGTTGTGTTTAAAAAAAAAAAAACTAAAACGTCAGTTATGACTTCTTGGGAATACATTATATAAGTTTCATGAATGGAAGAAACTCTTGTTAATTTCAGTGCTATTTTCTCACTGCATCACTAGTCTTGGTGTGCACTGTTTACCAGTTTGTGTACTACCTTTGGCTTGTGTGCAAGCCTATAAGCCTACCTTTGGCATACTGACATAGGAGCTGTACTGTTGTGAATTTTGAATTTATAAAAACAATGTCATAACTCTTTTAGTGATACCAATATGTTTACTGCAATTGCTCCAGAGGTGTCCGGTTTTTCCTTCAAAGATTGCATCATCTTGTTGTGGCTGCCCTATTAATATTGTTTTCGTTGCCTTGTTAACTTAGGATCTTAATCTCGAATAACTCCTAATTACTTGGAATTTCTGTATTTTTTTTCTTTCAAAATCCTCCAGCATACAAGGACGTGCACAACCAGTGCATTGAATTGGACTATACATATAGTGGACCAAGAGAAAGTGGAATGCTACAAATAGTTCCTGCCATGGACTTTTTATCTAAGCCTTCAGTGCCAAACCAAGCTGGTTCCTCGTGTATGCCACCTAGCAATAGCATGATCCATGGTGGTATTTGCCCCTCTAGTGCTACTGCTGGAGAACAGTGCAGTTCCAGTAATATGCTGGTTATTGCCAAGCCCAAGGGACCAGCTCATGATGTCAATGACATAACAAAAGGTGAAGAACATGTGAGTATTCCCATAATCAATGAAGGTGGCAATGGGATTCTTCCTGCTCCCTTTCACTACATACCACGCAATATCACATTCCAGAAGGCATATGTCAATCTTTCGCTTGCTAGAATAGGAGATGACAATTGCTGCTCAGACTGCTTTGGAGATTGTCTAGTGGAACCACTTCCTTGTGCATGCGCAGCAGAAACAGGAGGCGACTTTGCTTATACAAGAGACGGCCTGCTTAAGGAAGAATTTCTCAATTCTTGTCTCTCCGTGCTTCCAAAATTCTACTGCAAAATTTGTTCAAGGGAACGAGTGAAGATCGTAAATTCTGAGTCACCAAACGCCAAGGTGAATCCTTGTAAAGGGCACCCTATAAGGAAATTTATCAAGGAATGTTGGAATAAATGTGGATGTGCCAGAAATTGTGGAAATCGTGTGGTGCAGCGGGGTATTAGTCGGCATCTACAAGTAAGTCGTTTGTACCCATTTAAGCTCTTGGTATGGCCCTATTGCACCAAAGATAAAGCTTTTATTAATCAGTGTCAGTTGGCAAATGTTCCCTCCTTGCCAAATTAAAGTGCACATAAGTTTTGTGTGAAGTCAAACTTTGTAGATTTCGACCAAGTTTATAGAAAAAATATATGAGCACCTACAATAGAAAATGTATACCATATGAAAATATATTTCATGATGAATCTAATGGCATTGATTTTGTATTGTAGAGGTTGATAATTTTTTCTATGCAGTTGGTTAAAGTTTACAAAGTTTGACTTAGGACAAACTTATATGCATTATAATTTGGCAAGGAGGGAGTATTACTGAACTAACTGAATTCCATAGGTAATTGGCAGCTCCATATCCATACATAAAAAGTAGAATTCTGTTTATTATAGAGATCTAATGCATATAATTAAAGCGGTTTGAAGTATGCATGATTAGTCAGCACCTTCCAGGCAAGCTGTATGGATCCTTCTATCTTTCCTTTGATTAATGTGGCAATGTTGAACCTGTTTCTTTCTATTTCAACTTCAATTAATACGGCAATAGTGACTGAATGTAGGATCCAATTTTGCCTTAGATTAATGTGGAAATGTTGAGCATTCTGTGTATACTCATGTCCTCATCACATCAAACTGCACATCATGCATGTTTTTCTTATATTCATTCGTAATGTGTGTCGTTTCAGGTTTTCTTAACCCCTGGAGAAAAAGGATGGGGACTGCGGGCTGCTGAGGAACTTCCTCGGGGTGCATTTATTTGTGAGTATGTTGGTGAAATATTGACGAACAATGAGCTGTATGAGCGAAACAATCAAATGGTGTCGAACGGTAAGCATACCTACCCTACGTTGCTTGATGCTGACTGGGTCACTGAAGATGTTCTGGAGGACGACCATGCTCTCTGTCTGGATGGCACCTTTTATGGGAACGTGGCAAGGTTCATAAACCATAGGTAAGTAATATTCCTTTATGATTACCACCACCAACAGCACCGTCACAAAAAAGAGTCATAAAAATCGCAAACAAATTTGACTAAAATGTAACTGATGAATGGCTACATTTGAGCTGAAAGTTCAACCTTGGTTCTATGTACTTTTACAAGTTAACACTATCTTTATTTGCGCATGTGTGTGATTTAGTAGTGAATATGCTTTGTATTATTCCTTATCTGAATACTTTGATTACGATGTGCATTGTGCAAGTGATGCTACTCTAGTTTGAAGCTATCTAATAGCACTTCGTAACACAAGATTTGAACACAGAGGTAGAGAGAAACCAAAAAAAAAAAGGTGCTTCCATAGTATGCTGAACCAATAATTTGAATTTCGACTGATTGACTTGGAATGTTTTATTCTTGAGAATTTTTTGACTTGGTACGTCATGGTATGGTGCAGGTGTTCTGATGCCAATCTTATTGTTATACCTGTTGAGATTGAGACACCCGACCACCACTACTACCATGTACGTATGCAACCCCAGCTATTTACTGGCCTTTGTGTGTTAATCAAGTTTGAAACATATGAAGATTGATTATTTATTCTTTTGTTTCGTTCAGCCGGCGTTTTTCACCACAAGGCAAATAAAGCCATTTGAAGAACTTACATGGGTAATTTACATTAATTTAAGCTCCATTGTGCCGCATCAGTTGTACACTAGTGAATCTAAGGACCAAGATATGGGCCAAACTGTTTCTAATATCCTGACTGAATTCTGTTCAATCTTCAATCTCATGTTTTAGACTTCTAGACCTTATGTTGAACTGTGTCTCTGCAAATCCAATAATAGTTTTGTCAAGCTACCGTTCCTTGTTTGTTTAGTGAAATCTTCTTGCCTAGATTATTGTCTACTTTTAAGTTATACGTCAAAATGCCTAATCTTCTTTCGTGCACACGTTGACCACAGGACTATGGACTTGACTTTGATGATGTCAACCACCCTGTCGAGGCATTCAAATGTTGTTGTGGAAGTGAGTTTTGCCAGGACAAAAGGAACATCTGAAGTAGGTGCCTGAACCTCTTTTTTTATGGTGCACTTAATAGTTACAGATGCTGATTTCTCAATATTCTCTACTACTTCCTCCATTTTGTTATAACAGTCGTCTTCGAGAGTCTCAGATTTTAAATAAATTTCCATTTAGGGAATCAAGTGTGTAGTGTTTCCCTACCCTTATTGGCCTACTATATTGCTTTGGTAGATGCTGCGTGATTTAATGATAGATATGCTGAGTGGCATGTCTCGTAATAGCGTATCTATGGTTATCTTCTTTTTTTTGATTTAGTGTTTCTTTATCTATGCACATGGGGGCTAATGATAGATATGTGGATATACAGAGAGTATATGTGTAATCAACTTTAACAGAAGAAGTAGCATATGCCCTCTGCTCATTTGTATACCCCTCAATACAACGACAGTTCCTTGATCTTGAGCATTTTTGGTGAAAAAATACATTGGCTATGCCCATATGATGTCTCTATTATGGCTATCCCAATTTAAAGCAACCAAATCATCATGAAAATTCAGTAGATAGACAGAGGTGATTGAATTTGATCTTCAAACATATATATTATTTACCCTCCCCCGACATATTTTTTTAATAATGTCCAGAAACTTCTAAACTTGGTGAATGAAAAATTCCATCTGGTAAAGCAACAGAAAATTTTCATCTGGTAAAGGAAATTGAATGTTTCACCAAAATAGCTGTTTCATCTGATATTTCAAGTGGCGCTATTTACCATTGAAGTTACATCAGCTGACCACAAGTGTTGATATTCTCCTACAGGGTCTAAAGTTAGAGCCCTGGTGTAACTATGAGTACTGGTCACGAGATAAAGCCACCAAGGAGATTCGAGATAACATATCATCTGCAATGCCGTCTTCATGCTTTGTCACCTATGGATCTGGATTGCCTGTTTCAGTGTTGTCAGACAGAGCTTGCTTCCAAGCAGTGCATTTTGGTTGCCCGTTCTTAATTTCCTTTTGATTTGGAAAGGTTTCTTGATTCCTTTCCTCAACGAGATATGTAGGAAGTTTAAGTATGGATCTTTTTCGGACTTCTAACTTGAAAAGTCTAGTGCATTTAATTAATAGGCCTTTGTTTGGTCTTCTACTATCGATTCCTAGTTTCCTGCCACCCAGAAGCTAAACCGCTAACAAACAAGCTGCGTCCCAAGCTGATTCTCCTACAATAGATTCGAAAAATGATATCCGGCGAACGCTCAATGTTGATGTTTTCCTAGTGAACATGCTGGTTGCCGTCTAGATAGATATGTCCTTTTTTATCGCATGAATGGTGGCGCAAGCCTTGTACCACGTCAGCTTTTCATACGCGCTACAGCGAAATGATAAACACCCTTCCCTTTTCCTCTTAAAAAATACAAGGGACATGCACGAGGTGGGGGTCTCAAACCCAAACCTTCTTGAGGAGTGGCTGCACGCTTAGAGGATCTCTAGCAGACCTCCTAAAAAGTCACGACCCGTAAAATAACCGTTAAATTACGTGTTGGCACGAAAAATTCTGCCCGACCAGACTCTGCAAATGCGTCTGACCCATAAATTTTTTTGCGGGACGCGGCATAATTCCAGTCCCAACCCGTGGAAACACGGGTTTCGCCCCTCGGCCCGTTCCCCACCCACCGCCGCCCCTCTACCCCTCGCCCCGCAGTCGGGCCGCTGCCTACGATTTTGGCCAAAGTAGTTGGTGGGATCACGCCGGAGGGCCGCCACACGCCCGAGGTTGCCCTCCGCCACTTCCTCCTGCGTCGGTGGGCCGGAAAGTTGCAGATCGGCGACTGTTCGACGCAGGCGGCCGGATTTGGCTTTTCCGGCCGACGGTCGCTGCGCCAAGCCATGGATTGGTCGCGGAGCACCCGCGCGGCCCCGGTAAAGCCCCATCGTCGCATGCAGGTACGGGTTCGTCTTGTAGTTGCCGCCGCTGGTTTGCCGGCAGGGATTCGGCCGGCCGGCCGCCGGGCTCGGCGCTCGCGCAGCGGCTGGCCGATGCCGCTCATACAGTGCGACGACTGCACGCGGACAGTGCTACGACTAACTTCTGGCACGCCGAAGCACCCCGGATAGGTGTTCTTCAAATGCGAAAACGATGGGGTATGTGTTGTTTTCATTCGGCTTTGTCACCGTATACTTTGGTTCAATTGCGATAGCTCATTTTGAACATCATCATGTGTGTAGGAAGATGGATGCTCATTTTAGTTTTGGGAATGAGAATACATTGATTTGTTGATAGAAAGGAACTTAATAGATGTTCGTGCACTTCTTAATAGAATTGAGGCTAATGATGCGGCTGCATGTGCAATTAGAGAAGAAAATAGAGGGGAAACAACGTCTACTTCTTTAGAACCAAAGAAAAAGAATGAAGAATGCAATCAAGAATCCGCAGATCAACAACGAATGCATGAAGAAAATATTGGTCCAACTAGTGGGAGCAGTTATATATGGAAGTTGGATATCTTCTAAAATGTATAATTATGGTTCTTGTTTTATTTGGTCTTACTATTCTAGCAAAGATTTGGTGAATTACTATGTATCCAATGCCATTGAAGAAAATAAAAAAGCAAAGAAATGTATTTTTATGTGTGAAATTGAATTGTAAATTTCAGATTTGCGGGCCGGCGGGAGCGGCGCCCGAGCAGACCCTGCAAAGCCGACCCGTAAAAGAGCACATTCCGCGAATATCTTTTTTACGGGTCCGTTTTGCGGGGTCTGACTCTGCGGCCGTCCGCGCTGCCCCGCAGAGCCATTTTTTCGCAAACTGTAAACGCATTTTGCAGGTCGACGTTATACGGGGTCTGCTAGAGATGCTCTTATCACCTCGATTGAAGCGGTTTTGTGAACACTTATGCTTAAACAACTTTATGTATTCGAAGATAAAATCTTTTTATTCGTTTTCCATTTTAAAAATTCCAAATGCCCCTTTTTCCATGAACAAACAAAAATCCCTATTTTTTGGATGGTTTTTTTTCTAAACTTTCCATGTGCATTTTTTTATTATTGGTAGCATGGCAATTTCTTTTGGTTTAAACCATGACATTTTTTGCCTTTCAACAGATGGCATTTTTTAGGTATTTTTGTAATGCCCCCATTGCAAGCTTTGGGATTTTTTGTCATTTACACATGGCAATTTTGGTTTTGGTTTTTTACTTTCTCACATGGAAATTTTATTATCAAGAGTATGACATTTTAATAATTAATAACATGGCATTTGTATTATTATTTAAGATGGTAGCATTTGTAGTTAAGCGCATGGCATTTTTTATTATTTATAACATGACATTTTTTATTATTAATTACATGGGATTTCTATTATTAATAGGATGGAAGTTTTTATTATTAATAGTATGGTATTTTTTATTATTAATAACACGGAATTTTTATCATTAAGAGGATGACCATTTTATTACTAACATGATGGTAGTTTTATTACTTGGGAGCATGAGACTTTATTATTAAGAGGATGGAATTTTAATTATTAAGAGGGTTGAATTTTGGTTTTTCATAAAAACGAAATTGTGTTTGGGCCATGGCAAATTTATTGGACTTATATAGCTAAAACATTTTTATAAAGTAAACCATGGTATTATATATATATATATATATATATATATATATATATATATATATATATATATATATATATATATAATAGGGCGTGGCAGTTGTAATTTATGTTTTTTCTCTTTTGTCTTTTCTTGCATCAGTTTTTTATTTTTATTTTTGTTAATGTCATTTTTGTTGAAAAAGTATACTATTTTGGTCCTACCCCACTTTTTTCCACGATGTCTGGCTGGATCCTTCGCTCCTCCCGCAACCCCCAACAGATGAAAGGGTTGACTGGTCATTCGGCCCACTAGAGAACGAATAAAGGGCCCTAATATTGGGTGAATCGCCCAACATTGGGGTCCTAGATTATATGAAATGACCGCGAATCAACCTGTGGTTGAGTTGGTTAGGTGGACAGTGGTATCCCCAACCCATCAGGGTTCAAATCCTGGTGCTCGCATTATTTCTGGATTTATTTCAGGATTTCCGGCGATGCGCTTTCAGTGGGAGGAGACGTTCCCGTCGACGACGAGGCGCCTACGGTGACTTCGTAAATCTCAAGATGATATGCCGGCTCAGTCTCTCGGAGGTGCTCATAGGGGTAGGGTGTGCGTGTATGCGTACATAGGGATGAGGGTATGCGCGTGTATATGAGCGCTTGTGTCTGTACTGATGCTCAAAAAAAAAAGATTATATGAAATGACCTACTAGCAAGCCAGAGATATAAGCAGTGAATTAATCGATTTCTGAGCTTTTGCTCAGATGGCCCTCCTAGGCTTCCTCCTACTTTCGCTTCTCTTAAGTCTACAATAAATGGGAGAAGTGATCCCTTTCTTCCTGCATCACAAAAAAAAAATCATTCTACTCTCTTTTTATCCAACTTCTCTTCCACATTTAAGCGAAAACCAGTCTAGACACTTTACTGTGTAGCAGCCACAAGCATACAAGACAGTTCGAAGGGACTCCCTTGATACATGGGGATGTGAAGAGAACAAGACTGCTCTAGACACCAAGTTTAATCGTTGACTAACTGGAATAAGAATTTATCTGCTGCTTCACCTTATTTACCATCCAAAGTTTGAACCGTTCTTTCCTCGACTACCCTTCTCCCTCCCTCATTTTTCTCATCTTTTCGCAATGCGCCCCGCCAGTGCAGCCCTCACCAATACCCACGTCGGTCAGATTCGAATGTCTTGACCTCAGTACCTAACACTCATGAGACTTGATATTTCTTTCATTATGAATAAAGTATATCGGTTTTTTCATGCACCCACTACAACACACTGGGCTGCTACCAAATGCATAGTCAGACTGTTAAGAATACTTTAAATGTTGGTTTGACATTTAGCAAATCATCATCTACCCTTATTAGTGAATTCTCTGATTTTGATTAGGCAGACTGCTTTGATGGTAGATGATCAATAGGTGGTTTTTGCAGTGTTTTT